TTATTTTGTCTGCTGCTGCTTGACAAATATTTGTTTATTTTCATAGTGCATGTTTTAGTTGTATGGAATGTATTTTTTATCTAATTTTTTTATCACAGTACCTTTGCTTGACTGCATAATTAAACTAGTTTTAAATCTGAATAACCAGTGTCTGCCTGACTTCCTCCAGCTCAACATGATTTCATTTGCCTGGCTCTCTGTAAATCTGTGACACAAAATTGCCACCATAAATCAACCTATTTACTGTATCTTGACCAAGATTTAGAAATAAACTCAGAGCAACTTGACAAGACATAGTGGGTTAAGTTGATGTCGTAAGTATTGAATACTTTTCTTTTGTCCTGTGATGTGGATTTCAGTGTTTTGCTTCATCATGTCAATTCTCACTTTCTCTCCACTTCATTGGTTATCGTAAATAGACGCACATGCTGCTGAATCCAATTCTGATGTGAATTTGAGAAGTGCAAAGGTCTCCATTCTCACATCAAGTATGTCCTGTACTCAATGCTTCACTTGAAGCTGTAATATATCGTCCCAAGCTTTCTTGAAAAAACAAACTACAATAGCAAAGTGTATCGTGTTCAACTTACTTGTGTGAGGGATTCCCATGGCCCATTTTCCTAAATACAGAGAGCATAGGTCATTTTGAGTAGCCATGTTAGCCATCATTCAACGGTATGAATGAATGCTGGGATTGCTCACTCAAAGTCTAGCCATTTTGGAATGTCAATAAGAATTCTTTACATTTGCAACTACTTTGAAGGCCAAAGGGGGAAGGCCAAAACCTGTTTATTGTATGATAAGTGGAGTCCCCTCCAGAGAGTATAAAATGACCAAAAGGCAGCCGCATGAATTCCTTAGTGAACTGTACAATTGGATGTTGATAATGAATAGTTGGGGGAGAGCTTCGTTTTAATAAGATTTTATTTTATCGTATTATAAGACCTGAGCATTTGAAAATATTCTGTATCAATATTTCAGCATTGGTGGTGTGATTAGCATAGGGGAAAAAAAATTATGCGTTTCCTGCAAGTGGTAGAGTAAAATATTGAATAATTCTAAGTTATCATATTTATATAATGTATGCAAGCATGAATTGCAAAGACATGTCCATGGTCATTATGGTCATATAATAACCCATCATAACATAAATGCATTTTGTAGTTTATATGAGACACACTGAATGACTGATGTAAAGTTGTATCTAGAAATTTAAGGCAACTGTAAATGGCCCCACGTAACTCCCTTACACAGTAATAGTAAGGGAATAGATGTATTCAATATCAACACATTGGAGGCCTTGCACATTTTACTCCAAACAGTATGGGCAACAGTAAACTTTAAGTAGAAGGCTGTGTGAGAAATTACATAACAAACGCATGATATGCTATCATGATGTCGCCTTCACATTCCAGTCTTAATTTAATTGGCCATATTGCCACTCTTTCAAATTGCCAATTATTTTCATTATTCTTATATCATGTGGTTGGATAGACTGATAAGTCAAACAAGATACAAAACATTCAAAGTTATTCAGTGTTCACATCTGTTTTTTTGTGTCTTTTTACGCCAATGTAACTTGTGTCTGTGTAAGAGAAAAACAGATGTGAACATATTATGTCTATGTAAAAGGATTTAAAAATGGCGGAGTTTAAGCCCTCTTTGAAGGGGGTATCAGCACTGGTGTAACTATTACCGCCGACCAACAAAGTATGTTGTAAGTGCATTTACGCCCCAAAGTTCCACAGTCAAATATATTTAAGTTTATATTAGTTAAATTGGCGAGCTGGCAAAGTTTAGGTTGTTATATATACATTGTTAAACTTGAAGTATGCAGTAGTAATTCTGAAAATGGCTACCACCAGAGTTCCGTACAGTCAAACTCTCAGAAAAAAAAATCAAACCAATCATTTTCTAGTGAGAGTATAATAAACATATTCTCAATTGGTGAAAGTTTCATTAGTGCAATATGAGAAAATAGTGTGCTTTTATCATTTTTTATTATTTGGAATACACTTGTATTTTAGACATGCCTGGACCAATCACAATCAAACTTCACACATACATCATACATTCACGATCTGATTCAAGATGGCCAAATCATCAAAATCAAGTCTATGCGAAAAAACAATAGCTTTTCTGTGTTCATCCAATCATAATGTCTGAAAATAACAACTTTAACTACACCAAATTTAGAAATGACTAAACTACAAATGTACCATCACAAAGACTAAAGACCAACACAAGAAGAGTTATGGACCCACAGCTAGTTAGCCCTTTTGCTGTTGTATACTGTAAAATGACAAATTTTCACTGGGTTTAAATTTCACTGATTTAGCATTTCAGGCATATTCAGTGGGTTTTTAACTGCACGGTTTTATCATTTAGATAATGTGTTCTATGCCCAGTTTTACATATTCACTGGGTTTTAATTACGCCCATTTTCCAGTCAGCGAAATAAGCAAAATTAAAACCCAGTTTTACAGTATTTTGAGCTGGGTGAACAGAACATAGTGAAAAGTGATATTATTTAGAAATCTTATAACTTTGATCATGCTTTATTGTAGTTGTGTATATTGACATATTTCTGTTAAGTAAAACAGTCTACAGCGTACAAATGTGTAGGAGATGTACATGTAGATTACAACAAAGTAACATGGATCCTTAATACTATGTAGATTTGTACAGTTCATGCTTGTTAGTAAATATAAAAAGTTACTATATTCTCGGCATTATAATTTGCTCACATATAAGCTATTACAGTCTTTGTAAACTGATTTGACAGGATTGAAGTAAGCACATTCTCTTTTAATAGAGCAAATGTGGTGTCAGGTTGTCTGGTGTATATCCATTATCAATAGTGTCATACTAGACAAGCTGAAGTGTTAAAAATTGCATAGACACAATATATTGGTACATGGTACATGTGTGATTGTAGTTGTTTAATTCAAATATATATACATGTAAATGATATGAGGGTGCCTATCACAGTTCCCATGTACATTGAGAAGGGTTCCCGAAGTGTATTGTTACAGGTATTGTAGCTGGTTTGTTTTGTGCGTTGTGAGTAAGAATGGAGAGCAGGGGGGGGGGGTTGTCTCTGAATATATCTGAAAACTACTTTATTATATTTAATATATTGGTATTTATGTTACCAATTAATCACCTCAAGTTTGACCTTTCATTGGTAGCAATTGCTTGCTTGAAGGTCTATCAATCTTGTCTTGTATTTTCTGGTATTTACAGATGCAAGGTTTTGATCTGAGTATTTCCTCAAATAAAATTCAGTAATTATTATTGCTGCCCCCCAATCTGTAGTTGCATTTATGTCATGGGTAAAGGATTTTAGACATCAAGGTAGCAAATGTTTCACGGGCACTTCATCTGATTTACCAAGAACACTGTGCTGATTGCTAAAACTGCTATTTCTCAAAAGTCGACAGAAGTCAGGGGTGATATCACTGGATTATGTCAACACTGTCAGCTCATGTTGTGCTTCGGTTGATGTTAACTTAGTATGACATGTTGTAAGCCTTGCTATCTCTGTAGCATTTATATGTGTTAAATGTGTACTGTAACACATGGAAATGTGTGTAAGGTTCAGGAATACTCAAATTTTCCAAAAAAAAAAAAGTTCAGGTTGACTTCACTAATGTTGTTGTTTTATTTCAGGTGCTTCAGTATTGGGTCAAGAACCTTCTTGTGAAGGGGGTGGATGTTACCCTGCCACCGGTGACCTTTTAATTGGAAGAAAAGAGCAACTTTCATCATCTTCAACGTGTGGTTTAGAAAGACCGGAACGTTTCTGTATTGTTAGTCATTTAACAGACATTACTAAGTGTTTTTATTGTGACTCTCGGAATTCTTTTAAGAAGGGTGTCCATGTGTTGAGCCACAGAATAGAAAATGTTGTTACATCGTTTGATGAGAACAGGAAAGAAACTTGGTGGCAATCAGAAAATGGAAGAGAGGATGTCTTTATTCAGTTGGATTTAGAAGCTGAATTTCATTTCACTCATCTTATAATGACTTTTAAAACTTTCCGGCCTGCTGCCATGTTTGTAGAGAGATCATCTGATTTTGGTAGGACGTGGAAGATATATAGATACTTCGCTTACAATTGTGAGGAATCCTTTCCAGGTATCAAACACGGTCATCAAGAAGACATCAGTGAAACTATTTGTGAGTCACGATACTCAGCTGTGGAACCATCGACTGAGGGTGAGGTAAGGAGTATTTAATAAAATCAGACTCTACTTACTCTTTCTAATCCTTTCAAACTTTAATGTTTGACAACCTTATGAAGTTATTGCTTTATTTGGCCTTGTTCGACGCAACCAGATCTTGGCTGTTTACAGATGGGTTTTGTTTAAACTTGATACATACATTATACATTATAGGACATTGATGCATGTTGTTTTGTTTTTCAGATCAGATTCAAAATAGCCGACTGGTGGCCATTTTGTTTAATGATTGTGGTTCTTGTGTCATCTCTGACTGATTATGTTAACATTTTATATATTCATTTATATGTCATGTTAAGATAAACAGATGTATTCAAAATGGCCGACTGGTGGTCATTTTGTTAAAATTAATGCTGTTCTGGAGCAATATCTCTCAATATAGACAAGTGCTTGTTTGATAATCAGATACAAGATGACTGAATGTCAACCATTTTAATCATCATCAAGCATCATCTTGTTCTAACTATATTACTATAAACAAAACTATATATTTCAAATTTGATAACTAATGGGGACTGTGCCATGCATGACTTTGTTTTGTTATCTTTTATGGTAAACTTGTTGAATATTTTGTACATTTACTATAGCATGGGAGAGTGCCTCTCAGATGCTTACAGTTTACAAAGTTACAGATAGTATTTTATATTTATTCGTAAATTGTACAATTCATGCCAGATGCACATATATTTAACTCTATTTTATTTGTTGCTAGGTCATTTTCAGAGTCCTGCCACCAAATCTTCAAGTTAATGATCCATATGCAGCCGATGTACAGGATCTCTTGAGGGTGACTAATCTCCGTATTAACTTTACCAAGCTGCATACTCTTGGTGACAACCTTCTAGATAACAGAGAGGAAATCAAAGAAAAATATTACTATGCTTTGTATGATATGGTTGTTAGAGGTAGCTGCCAGTGTTATGGTCATGCAAGTAGATGTATTCCATTGGAAGGAATGAGCCATGAGTCTGGAATGGTAAGTTGCTCTCTGTTTGTTAGTCCCCGTTTTCAGACTGTGTCTTATGGATTGACCTCTGTGTGTCTGTGCATCCGTCTGTCCAGACCTATATCTTAAACATGCCTGGACTGATTACATTCAAACATCACACATACAGCATACATAATATTATAGATATGCACATCAATTTGTTTCATCTTCAAGTTGATCGAATTTTGTGAAGAAAAATCATCAAAATCAAGCGTAGCTCAGCTGTTTCAAAGATGGATTTTGTTGGTACATACATTGGACCTTATGGGACCTTGGTGAATGTCATTTTGTATTTCAGATCAGATTCAAAATGGCCGACTGGTGGCCATTTTATTTTAATGAATGTGGTTCTAGTACCATAATCTCTGAGAGGCTTTGACTGATTATGTTCAAATTTTAAATATTAATTATTCATTATCTTGTAGATACATGTATACAGATTTATTGGTTTGGCGATCTGATTAAAAATGGCCGAATGGTGACCAGTTTGTTCTAGCTGTTCTAGAGCACTTGTACTATATTACTATAAACAAAATTATATAACTTAGTTTTGATAACCAATGGGGACTGTGCCATGCATGGCTTGTTCTCATTGGTGTGTCACAACATGACACTGAGGTCAGATCCATTTGCCTTGTACCCATTTGTACCTATATTTTACTGAAATTAGGTCTTCCGCTCAACAAAATGAAGAATTTAAATGCGACGTATCTGTAGTGTATTCATAGATTTGTGGATGTGTTAATTAAGATCCACACGTATAGTACAAACACTGGGAGTCATTATTTCAGCATGTCCCTGGCATATAGTAGAATCATGACATACCCTGCCATATATCACGTAAAATTGACAGTAGACTATTGAATGTCTTCAATGGCAAAAGGAAGGATCAGTACAATACTGATAGTTCTCTCATCAATTAAGGTTATATACTTATGTCTTGCATTAGTAAACTATTTTACTGTCCTGAATAACTGCTGAACTGTGGCTGATCACTCAAGGATGAATATGAGGGAATTCTGTTCACTTACAGAGTACCTTGTGATGACATGTTTCATAGTCTCTCATGTTTAGCTCCTGTCAGAACAGAGCTTAACATATGAGTGATTGTTTGTCGTTTTCCGTGTGTAACTTTTTACTTTTTTGTCGTCTTCTTGAAAAGTACAAGCTAGATTGCTTCGTTACTTAGTGTATATGTGCCTTGGGTGGACCTCTCCAAGATTTGTTCATTTCGTGATGATATCTTCAATTTTGATGGATATTTTTGGTAAAAAGTGATATCTTTGACTTATTGTTAAAAAAAATGGACATGCGTAACTATTGCATAATACTTACACAGGCTTAAAAACATATGCAAAAACATTAAGTTGTTGCAAAGGGGCTTAAATGCGATATTGAGAGAGATAACACCGGTGACAATTCATAACAAGCTTTAAGTGCATGGCTTCGGCAATTTGAATTTGAGTGTCACAGTCACCTGTGTTTATGTTTAACTTATCCGATTTTAAGGCAGTTTAGATTGTTATATTGCCCTGTACATGTTGTTGAACTCAAAATAGTACCTGGCTGTATAACATGAAATTTGAGAGCTTAGATTCATTTTTTGTATTTTTGTTTGTATTCATTATGACATTTTACATGGCTAATATTGCTTGATTGAAAAAGTACACTGAAGTATCCAGTGACCACCATATTTATGGTTCTTGTAAGAAATACTAGTATGAAAGCAAGATATGAGGTCCTTATCTTTTTAATTAATGGGCACAACTTAAAAGGTCGCAGTCGTCGCAGTCATCGTGCCGCGTCCTGTTCGATATGGGACACATTGTTTATTTACATAAAATTCGAACGCGCGCTGCGCGATGACTTTTTCTAAGAGAACTTGGTAATTAATAGATCATTGCCTTTAGTGACATGTTATTGCAAAATTCTTCAGTCAAGTCAATTGCTACTACCAGTACACTTTTACTTCAAGACAGTATACCAGAGAATGACCATGAAATTTTTTTTTTTTCAAAATAGTAGCAAACAAATACAAATGTAACAATTAATTCAATTCTTGTGTTTCTATTGAATTTTGTTAAAATCTTACTCTGAAGCCTTTGTTTGATTTGAGTTCGCTTTGAAAGAAACTCTTGTTTTGATTGAATAGTCGGTCAAAAGGCATTGCTACTGTTGTACACTTGTGCTAAAACCCAATGTTATTGCACATTCCAACATTGCTTTCAGGTATCACCATGGTTACCACTCTGTTTTCTTAGAAAGACCCAGTCAGCAAACTAGACTCCTGAAGTACTTATCTGATGGTGCCATAATAATAAAACACTGGCTAAACACTTAGGAATAGTTTAATAACATCTTGCTCATAAAATGTCTACTTTAGTCCTTGAATTGGCTCTCATGGGTTCATTGTTTATGTCTACACTGTATGATTGTTGTGTGAGAATTGCCAAAATTTTCAATATCCCAGTATTTTAGAATGGTTGACATTAAGTTTGTACTCATCTTTTGATAGTTAATATACACTGGTATAATTGTACTTTCATAAATTCACCCATTAGTTGTTATAGAACATGAGGAAAAGCAGAGTTTATTACTCTATACATTCTAATATCACTCAATTACCATAACAATGTATATAGTACAGTAGTAACATAATAGTGACATTCTATTGTTAAGCAAATTATTAATTGTGCTATTTTTCCAAGGAGATGACACAAGAGAATGTCAGTGTAGTTAGGTTGGTCATTGCTAACACGTGACTTTAATACATTACAGGTGTATGGTAATTGTGATTGTACACATAACACTAAGGGTTTGAATTGCGAACAGTGTGAAGATTTCTATAATGATCTGCCATGGAGACCTGCTGCTGGGGGTGAAACTAATGCTTGTAAAAGTAAGTTTTCTTTTAATTCTGCACCATTATTAAAAATCATATTTTAAAGACTATTAGTTAGTTATTGTAATCAATGAATATGTAGACACTGGTTGATTTTTTTTTTTGGTCAAATTTCGTCTGCATCTGTATTGATCTTGTTCAAATTTGGTGCATGCAATGGATATCATGGAACATTAATGCATGTCACTTTGTTTTGCTGATCAGATTCATTTAATGAATTCTGTTCTAAAGCCATATTTAAGACATATCTCGACCAATCTGTTCAAACTTCACACATACATGTAGAGATACATATGCACATTTGTTTTTGATTTGGTTCAAAATGGCCAAATGGCAGCCATTTAAGTATTTCTGTCATTCGTGATTGACAAACTTTGTTTTAATTTGGTCCATACATTGGACAGTATGGGCCTGTGATGTATGTTACTTCAGTTGGATTCAAATTAGGTGACTAGTGGCCATTTTGTTTTAATGAAGGCTATTCCAGAGCCGTGACACGTCTTGGATTATTGAAATCAAAGTAACTACATTACACATGTTACACTTACTAAACATGCATATACTTAAAGTTCTAATTCCAAATGGCCGAATTATTTCAACTTTGTTAAGAATTTAACTCGGTTATGTTCAAACTTTCACACATGCTTCGTACATCATTTCAAACGTATGCACATGCATTTGTTTTACTATTCAATTCAAGATGGTCAAATGGTGTCAATTTTAATGCTTAAAAATCATCCAAATCAACCAACTAGATTCTGGTCATGTATAGATAAATATTGTCTAAATTTGGTGCACATGTTGAACATAACGGTAACTTGGTGCATGTCATTGTTTTTAGATCAAGCATTCCCACCATTCTGAATCAGGATAAAGTTGACCTTTTTACACAAGTAATACATTAGTCAAATTCTCATTTAAAATGGCCGACTGGTTTTAGTTTTGTTTGCTATTGCACAACAGCGACTTATTTCACTGGTACTAAACAAATTAAAACACTTGCTAGCATAGATGTGTGCATGAGTCGCCTTCAACAGTGATGCAAATGTTGTTATTTTGCATATTTACATAATCCATACATATTATTAAGTATCAAAGAGTCGTAACTTTCATGTGCGTGAACTTTCATGTGCGTGAACGGCGCATCTGTTAAATTAGACCTCAGACTATGGGAAACCCTGCTATGTGGCTGTTATTATAGCACATTTGTTGGCTGTGTATCATGTCTCTTGTGGTAATAAAAGGTCACGACCTTTCAGTGAAATATTTTGATCCAAGTTCCTTTGGCGATTTTAACCTTGTGTTAAAGTAATCAAATAAGATAATGTTCACTAACATACCAGCGTTCAAGGCTTTCATCTACAGATAGGCATTTTTCTTGCAATAAATGGTTATACTTGATTTACAGTTTTGGTTTCTATTTAGTGAATAGAATCTTTTTTGCTATCGTACGCCATATTTGAGGTTTTGATGAAAAGTATAATAAAGTAAAACATTATGAAAACATGTATATATATAAAAAAAATAACTAACACTAACAATACAGGAAAAAAATCAAACAAGATGCTAAATTTCTAAACATAGAAAAAATTTTTAATTTTGTATTTTCTAAAGCAGCTGGTTTCAACATTTCAAGGTTAATGGAATTTTAGTGTTATGTTGTTAGTTTGAATTGTTTTATTTTTATATGTAAACATAATTGTAATTGAATTCTTTGAAAATTTGAGGTTTATAGTACTACAACTAATAGATACAATTTAAATCAACACAGATTCCATTATTTCTTATCGTTTTATCAACCATTTCACTGTTAATTGAATTTTAGTGTTATGTTGTTAGTGTTAATTGTATTTTTTTTATATACCGATATAAACGTAATTGTTATTGAATTCTTTGAAAATTGAGATTTATAGTACTGAGACTGATAGATTATGTACAAATTCCATTATTGCTTTGTTTGTTCTTTTTATCAACCACTTTCTTTACATTTCAATGTTTAATTGTCGTGAAACAATATTAAAATAGAAATGTTTTTTTTTAAATGAGTATACCAAACTCAAGATCACAGAAAAATCTTGCATGAATTTTATTTACACTTCACTCAGAAAAACATAGTTGAATTACTAGTACTATTAAAATATTGCCTCTATTATCTGTTTGTACAAATACGTTAATTATCAATGATTTGTTTTCTTTTCCAGGATGTAACTGTAATAATCATGCTTCAAGATGTCATTTTGATCCAGCGGTTTATGAACAGACTGGTCAGATTAGTGGTGGTGTATGTGATAATTGCCAACATAATACCCTGGGTAGAAACTGTGAACAGTGCAGACCATTCTTTTACATGGATCCAAGTAAAGATATCAGAGATCCAAATGTTTGTGTTCGTAAGTATACCTTGCTGTCAAATTAGTTCAAAGAGGTACATGTAACTGTAGTACAGTTACGATTCCAGAGTGTTTTATTATAGCCATTGTAGTATCATTTAAATTGGAATTCTTGGTGGTCTAGCACATACTTGTAGTTAAATTGAAACACATAAAAGATTGGTGTGATATACAAATATATAGCCCTTGTCTGTTCATAATAGAAAAGATATGTTTTAAGATATTGTCTATATACCTCTCACAAATAGCTAGTTTACAGCTTGGCTATAATATTCATATTATAATTTGACAACATCAAATAAACTACCGCTGTCTATAAACTCATTTAACTTGTCAGTTACTATCTGAAGACATGCGTTAAAAAAACGTACTGCTGGGATTAAAATGGACACTTGTATTTCCAACTCTTCCTTAGTTGCAAATTTTGTTCTTATAAAAATAAATTCCATTTTGTGTGGTCTGGTTTATTGGTGTTGTGTGTACTCCCCCGGGTAGATTAACACAGTGACCCAATTTGCTGCCAATGTAATCACTATCATAAATACAGTACATGCATGAAGGCAACTAGCAGGTCACATATATCAGAGCATGATGAGTGATCTGTTACCATTGAGAGATTTGCAAGTAATAAGCACACATGGTGGCAATAAAAATATATGGATCGTAACATCTTTGGATAGTCTTCCTCATCCTGTGCCCATTACAAACTTATTGGTCCTTCTCTGTGAACATGTAGAATTAATGAAGTGTTACTTTAATTGTAGACAATATATGTTCATCAGTTAAACCTAATATTGTAAAATATTTTATTTTCACTGCGAATTAATTTTCGCTGGAGGAATGATTCAATGAAAATAAAATCCAGCAAATATACCTATATTTTACATTCAACTCATCGAAAATCAGTGAAAATAAAGGATAGAGTTCTATTTGTACCCCGCATCCCTAACCATAATCCTAACCCTAACCCTAACACTAACACTCACTCCCAGTTACCCAATTCATTTGTATATGCCCCCTTTAGATAACTATAGATGTCCTTAGGAGGGGCATGTACAAGTAAATGGGGAATGCTGGAGGGTAGGGTTAGGGGGGTATAAAAGGACCTCTTTCCAAAATAAATTCTATACAAAACACTCAAAAAGACTTTTCAGCGAAATCAATTCCAGCTAAAATAAAGTATTTTACAGTACTATTAGTACCGGTATATTTTGTCATACTACATGTATACTTGGTTTACCCTAGCAGATATGTATCTTTCAGCTGTCTCTGGGTAATACCTTCTCCAAATTACAATCAGTGTGGCAAATATTCTTGGCATATACTTCTTGACATCAAATTGATATTGCTAATAACCTATTACGATATCTGTGGCAGCCTGTAATTGTGATCCCTCTGGTGCTGTAAATGGTGGCGAGTGTGAGAGTCGGGAAGATAGAGAAAATGGTTTGGTTGCTGGCAGGTGTATCTGTAAAAGATTTGTTGAAGGTGACCGTTGTGATGTTTGTCGGGATGGATATTGGAATCTAGAATATAACAATCCAGAAGGATGTCAACGTAAGTAAATAACAGTGCTCTAATGTTCATTTATTTACTGTAATTAAAACGTCTTCACAGAATACAATTTAAACAAAGTTAGACAAAACTACTGCAAACGTTTGGTAATTTTGTTCTGACTTGTCTCACAAAATATGTGTTGGAGTAACGGTATTTTATATTCTATGACTGAATTCTTATTACTACTGTTGCATTGTTTGCAGCTTGTTCCTGTGCATTGCAGGGTACTGTTGGCAATCAGGGTTGTCATAAAAGAACAGGACAATGTGTATGTAAGAGATTGGTTACAGGCAGAGACTGCAATGAGTGCTTGGTAAGAGATTTATGGATAACATCGTTATGATTACTCATTTGTTTTGACTTTTGAAGCACCACTGTTGTGCTTCATCCCATGTGATGTTTACAGCATTTGTATTGTATTGTTTACATATTTTTTTGTTTACATCAGATTTGAATGCACGATGTTACATGTATATGACTGATACTTTCTGTTTTAATGGGCAACGTAGTAGATGGCAGTTGCTTGATAATAAAATTATGTTTCTATGTTTTCCCATCTTAGCAGTGAGGTAGATACTCGTATTCCATAAATTGATGTGATATATATGATTTGTTTGATTATAGGATGGTTATTGGGGATTAAGTGATGATCCAGATGGATGTAAACCATGTGATTGTGATATAGGTGGTTCATATGATAATCTATGTGAGAAATCTGATGGACAATGTAGATGTAAACGCAATATCATTGGTAGACGGTGTGATATGGCTGAACCAGGCTTCTTTGTACCAGGCTTAGATATGATAACTTATGAAGCAGAACTTAACAGAGGAATTGGGGTGAGTCAGTTATTTCAGTGTGTTTAAGTACTCTTAAACAGTGGTTATTATTTATATTTGCTATTTCTTAAACGGAGCAGAATTTTGGCTATTTAAATAATAAAAAATTATCAAAATCAAACATTTCTTCAATTCCTAAACCAAATCTTGGTCATATATAAACAGCTGTTGTTAAAAATTACATAGAACATAATGGAACCATAATGTTTTTCAGATCAGATTCAATATGGCCAAATTACAGAAATTTTGTGTTAACAAATTCAAGAGCCATGTCTCTAATAGACCTTGACTGATTGCAATTATGATTATGTTCAAATTTTAAATATTCGTTGTACGTCATGTCATAGATATACAGATATATTGGTTTGATGATCCTATTAAAAATTGCCGAATAGTGGCCATTTTTGTGCTAAAAAATCGTCATATATCAAGCATTTATGGATGGATTCCTGATGCACGTCATTTTATTCTTTTGGATCAGATTCAAAATGGCTGACTGGCGGCCATTTTGTTTTAATGAATGGGCTTCTAGAGCCATATCTCTGACAAATGAGGACTATTATCAATTGAAATTAACATGTATTACTCTCATCTACCATAATTACTTTTCTCAGACACGATATTAGTAAAGCATTTGCCACTTTGAATGATATAACACTTCTCTGGCATTATACTGCCATCTTAGAAAATATAAAACTATTTGATGGGCTTGAAGTGTGCATGTAAAATATTATTGATTCATTTAAGTATGAAAACATTGGTGTTATGAGTCTGGTGACTGAACATTCTATCTTAGTCTTCAATGAAAATGCCTCATGCAGTACATTTCAATTATTATTATGTGCATTTTATTTGTAAATGGGGAATATATAAAATAGACTACCCTATTATTCTTTTACAGCTAAGTATGAATTTATATTGATATAGATCTTGATGTGTGTGTTTTATTCATAGCCAACTACTGTTGAAATTCGTGAGCAGCCAGATGGTACTGTGGTCACATGGACTGGTCCTGGGTTTATGAGAATCCGAGAAGGTGGGAGTGTAGAATTTATAGTGGACAATATACCCACCTCCATGGAGTATGATGTCATGTTAAGATATGAACCACAGGTATAGTAGGGTTTCTATTATAGACGTGAAATTAATAATTATGTGTATTGGTGGTGGTAGTTTTGTATTTGGTATACAGAACCTTACCACTCTCTTAATTAAATGGTTATTCCTGTTTGTATCCAGTAGACTTAACCTAACCCTCTACTTTGTAAAAAGGGTACTCCATTTGTACCTAAACTTAACTTCCCTCTTTGTTAAAAGATATTCCCTGTTTGTGTCCAGAGGACTAAAACTTACCCATCCCCTTGTTAAAGGATATTCCCTGTTTGTGTCCAGAGGACTAAAACTTGCCCATCCCCTTGTTAAAAGGATATTCCTTGTTTGTATCCAGGGGACTAAAACTTACCCATCCCCTTGTTAAAAGGATATTCCCTGTTTGTATCCATCTGACCCAATTTTCTCATTTTGCCATGTTATTCTTGAACATAAATCAATTTCCTTGGCATTTGATATGAAAATGATAGGAATGCTGCGGTTTGGGTGGAGACAGTCTGTGTCACTCTAATGGCCTTTAGGTCATAAACTGTTAAAAGTGATACATAGCTGGTATGACATATTGAATGGCCCTGTACACTCAGAAATAACTAACATACTTTGATTGTAAATCAATCATATTAATTAATATGCATTTTGTCATTTTAATATGCACTTTGTCATAACTAACATACTTTGATTGTAAATCAATCATATTAATTAATATGCACTTTGTCATTTTATTTTCTGCCATCATTGGATAGAGTAGTAAGTGCTATTTACAACATTTATTGCCATTTAGTTTCTGTATATGTATATTATGTATGTCTTTCAAATCTTTTTCACAAGAATTCTCAACATCCAATGATTTGAAATTGATTTACATGAAATTTTGTACATAGTTGTGTATGATGAATTCCAGATCTGATGAGTTTTGACAAGTACTAGAAGCTCTTTGTGTATTGTCATCATATCAACTGTTTGCTATACATTTCATGAGTGGCTGTCGCACCCTGCCATCACAACCCTAGTGCAATTTTCACTACTACATTGCTCGCATTTTCTCTCAACATCATGTTTCTCTTGTATGCCAACAGTTGCTGAAATGTATTCAAACTTTGTGCATGAATACTTCAGTATTTAAAAATTTAATATTTTGTAATTTCGATCTGCGCTTAGTAATTAGCTAATATGCATATCTATTTCAGTTTCTAGCATTTTCTATTTTTTCATTACCATCTAAAGTGTACTTTAATTAGAGTTAGCTTAATTTGGGGGATTTTAAAATTATTGATGTTAAAGTGTCGTTGCAAAATTAATACATCAGCTTAAAACTTCATTTATGTAAGTTTGTTTTGAAATTACAATTGCATGATATGCAGTGTATTACATTTCTATAAATTGTCATAAAATTGATTTTCTTGATTCACAAATACTATTTTAAGTTTATCAATATCATAAGACAGTACATGTATATTATATTTGATCTCTAAGAAGTATATCTCAAATGAAAGTGTACATAAACCATATATTGCATTTATTGTACACTTATACACATAAATACATCCCTGTCATTTCCATGAGTGTCTGCACTACTAATAAAGCAAGTAAGGTAAATATTTACTATGCCAACTTGGCAATACATTCAGCTCACTTAATAAGTTCTATCATTCAAGGCTGAGTATTAAAATTACCATAAAGACATTGTGTGTACTTTGTCCCTATATTGTGTCACTAGAAGGTCAAATCAGTAGACTATAAATATTACTGTCACATCAATTTAGGGTATGCTGTAAATTCATCTCTTCACAGATGCCAGAGACTTGGGAAGATGTGAGAGTGACTGTAACAAGGCCAACAGATATACCAACCAGTAGTGTTTGTGGTAACACCATCCCTCAGGATGATTTATTAGCTACGTCATTGTTACCTGGACAAAGGTAAAGTTTCTACATCTTGCAATGATGAATGAATAACACATGTATGTCGTATTTTTACAAGAAGTCTATAAAACTAGAATGTGGAACCAGGCCAAGGTTAACATCCTGGGTAAATTTTGACCTAAATTTGTCAAGTAATAAAATTACACTTCACAACTATTAGCAGGACAGTGTTGGATACGTTTAGTTGGCAATTATCGAGACAGTGTGGATATGTTAATGGCCAATTGAGGTTTATCAGGATCAGGACAGTGTGGTGTTATGCCCAGTTGGGGAATATAATCACATCAGACATGTTTCACTGTGTGCTTAGCATCTGGCAATTGACTTACAGTATAATTAAATATGTACTAAGTAAATGAACAATTGATCAATTCTAATTAGTTTATCCATATATCATGACCGTTCCCGAGATATATAGTCTTATAATAATTTGTTTTATCTTCGTACTATAACAAATTCGACCATTGGCAGTTAATCTCTAAATATGCCAAATTCTTCAAAAATATTCAATATATTTCATAAAGAAATTATTATATATCATATTCAGATTGTCCCACTGCATATTGAAATTACGTATCAGTTAATTCTTAGGTTAAAATTAGTATTGCTTACCGGATTCATTCTGTTGGAAGTGCTTGTCTAAATGACCTTTTAGTTTCACTTTGTTGTTTAAGGGTTGGATCACATGCCTGTTTAGTAGAGGAAATGTGATGACATCAATATTTCTGTATCATCCGTGAAAGAAAACTGAATTTTCTGTTTACTGGATCAGTACCAGCATATTAGTTTATGAAATATATTCTTGTATAGCAATTAATTAGATATGTTTTCCTAACAGACACCGTATTCTGTCAAGACCTGTGTGTTTAGAACGTGGAACTCGTTACACTATCAGGGTTGACTTCAACAGATATCACAATGGTTCCCCTACACCAGCGGCACAAATACTCTTTGATTCGGTAAGTTGTCTTTGTTCAAGGTTTGTTCAGAACTATAGAGGGTGCTGTTTTACCACTCAGGTAACTCTAGAAATACAGTTGGGAATTGCCTGTCGGGGCAGTTAACACCGAATTCAAACTTTACACTACTGAGCATGTTACTGCTCATATGCAGTGCATTATGGGAGATAATTTTCTGTATGATGGACAACTATTATCACTCTGGTAACTGGCTAATGTACATTGTATTTTTCATTGAATGTCACCAAGCAACATTGAGATGCAAATTTTAAACATTTTTCAGAAAGGGAGCTTACGTGTGTACTCTCTCTGCCTGTTTTCCATATCAGTTATCTAATTTGCAGAATTATTATATTTTTTAAACAGGTATATTTGCTTAATTAACTTTTGACCTGCTTTTCAACCAACTTCACACACATTTACTATTTTTAAGCTCTTCTTATTAACCACTATGAAATCTCTTCTCACTTCTCTCAGTTGGTTTTGGTACCAACTCATAGCAGTTTACCCATGTTCCAAGGACCAGGTCCAGCAGAAGAAAGACGAGAACAATATGAGAGATATCGTTGTCAGGAAACTCAGATGTCTGTATTAAAACCACCAATGCCTGAAATCTGTGAAGACCTCATTTTTAGTATGTCAGCTTCCATGTATGACGGTGCTGTTCGTAAGTATTAGTTTCTTCATATATAAACTGTTTATACTAACTTTGACATCCCACCTACTTTTCATACATTTTAAAGAGAGTATAAGCCTCTACAGACATACCAAATTCAATGGTAAACATGGAGTCCAAAGACAATTCAGACATGCATGTTTATCCGGATGTATTTCTGTCTGCATAACAAATAAAATGGCTAGAACGTCTCCATTCATTCATTCATTCATTCATTCATTCATTCATTCATTCATTCATTCATTCAAAGATTATGTGTAATTTATCACTTTGCTGGTCATATTCATGGGCATTCTATGGCCATCCATGTTTTGAGACTTTTGTTATGGTTCACCATATCAAGATGCATCTTAACATGTAGAGGGCAATATGCAATATACCTGGATTGATATAATTATGGAGTTATTCATTACACATTTAAAAATTTAATGTTCTTGTTTAATTTTTACTACAGCTTGCAACTGTGATCAAACTGGATCTGTTAGTTCTGTGTGTGGAGCTATTGGTGGTCAGTGTGAATGTAAAAGTAATGTAATTGGCAGAAGATGTGATCGATGCTCACCTGGTACTTATGGATTTGGACCTCAAGGCTGTCAATGTAAGGCTACAATATTGTATGTCATCATTTGCTTAATGAAGATTTAACATTATGTGTTTAAGATTTGATTGTCATTAATCAGCAGAACTGTATTGTATAGTAATATTATGCATACTGTCATCTTCTATATTGTCTACAGTGTGTGATTGTAACCAGATTGGTTCAAGGAGCTTATTATGTGATGTTAACAGTGGTCAATGTCCATGTAATCTCAATACCTATGGACGTCAGTGCGATCTATGTGAGAGAGGATATTGGAATTTCCCTAACTGTCAACCATGTCAGTGTAATGGTCATGCTGATACTTGCGATTCTAGGACTGGTACTTGTGAAGATTGTAGAGATAATACAGCTGGTCAATTCTGTCAAATGTAAGCTTATCACTGTAAATCTAATAATGCTCAACCTTGTTTAATGAAAAACCTAATATGATATTGATAAGTTATTTTTTAATTTTTGTAGTTGTGCACTTGGTTTTTACGGTGATCCTCGTGAAGGAAGTGGACAGGTATGCCAACCGTGTATGTGTCCAGGTGGTGCTGGGAGTGGATTTCAGTTTGCTGATTCTTGTTATTTAGATCCCAGATCCCAGACTGTTATATGTGAATGTAAAGAAGGATATACAGGTATTCAATTCTTTAAGTACATTTAAAGAAACTAAATTATGAAAATTGACCAATGCAAAAAATTTGTGGTGCCCGGTAGTAATAAAAATTATTTTTTCAAGAACAAGAAATAATAGGATCCAAATGGGCCGATTAATAGAATCATTCTGGTCAACTGAATTTTTTGTGTGAGTCTTGCAGCACTTTTTAAAAAAACAATTTCTTTACATTAATGATTTCTGTGCTATATTTTAAATAAAAACATATGAGCATGAATTAAAATGATTCTAATTAAAATCTTCCACCTTTGGAAACAGTGGATGCGCAATTTAATAATTATTTTTTTAGAATGACTTTGGTGCATGAATTAAAATATTTTTTTTGGTAAATATAGATTATACTATTTAAATGCTTGACACTGTGTAAGTTTCCATTGGTACCATGCTTGTTTCCCTAGGTATTCGTTGTGATCAGTGTGATAATAACTTCTTTGGTAATCCATTAATACCCGGTGGTGGTTGTCAGAACTGCAGTTGTAATGGTAACATAGATCCATCTGTACCTGGTAATTGTGATGCCAGGACTGGTGAATGTCTCAGATGTTTGTACAACACTGAAGGTACATATTGTGAAAACTGCAAACCAGGTTTTTATGGTGATGCTTTAAACAAGGACTGTAAAAGTAAGTAAAGTTATGTTTGGGTATTGCTCATGTTGTTGATAGTTTATTTATTTTTATTTTGGGGACTGCAAAATGTCATCTTGAATCTGTGTATTTGAATATGCAAATCTGTTCCCAGCTGATGACTGATGTCCGCCTTCAAATGCATGTAGAGATATTACTTCCCACATAAGTATTCAGTCAATAAGATCACCTTCCCTTCAGAAGTCAGACAAAATTATCTACTCTGCTATGTCACAACATATCCACCAATTTCCACCAGTTATTTGCTTCTGTATTAAGACATCATTTCATTTTGTGTATTTTTTGCATCTTTACAGAATGCGTTTGTAACATCCTTGGTACTGACCGTAGTGTTTGCGATAATATGAATAATTGTGGTATATGCGATAGTAATACTGGCCAGTGTCCATGCTTACCTAATGTTGAAGGACGAAACTGTGATAGATGTACTGATGATTATTGGAAGTTAGCCAGTGGTACTGGTTGCGAACTCTGCAACTGTTGTTCATATGGATCAGTATCATCACAGTGCAATGAGGTGAGTGAAATACATCATTCCAAGCAGTGTACCGGTAATATAAAACTGTGGATCTATGCACTATATTTGTCATGCGCATTACTAACTGCATTCACGCTCTTGAACTACAGTAGATATATGTTCTGTTTGCAGTTTGATGGACAGTGCCAGTGTCGTCCAGGTTTTGGTGGAAGACAGTGTTGTGACTGTGAGGCTGATTTCTGGGGTGATCCTCTTGTAGAATGCAAAGGTAACTTAAAGTGAAATGGCTGCTATTTTCACGCCTAAAATTATCCATTGATACATAAATATTATTATTTTTTATGTTTCTAAGCATGAATTATTTTTTTAAGTGAAAAAATGTGTTTTAAACTCAATCTGCGGCAACTTTATTTTTGTGTATTTTAAAACGAGGCTCCTCATTAGCTTCTTATTTACATTCAGAAATTCCCCTTGTGACGTCAGAAGGGGAAGTCGCATGGCAGCTTGCATTGCTGATGCGTATAAATAAGGCAAATTTCTTGTGCAGTTTTCTCGTCTTAGACTAAATTTTCACTTATGTACTTGTTCGTCGAGGAGAAATGGACCACAATGAACACATAGTATCAATTTTGTTGCATGGGGTTGAGTTAGATGCAAAA